GGTGGAAGCAGTCTTTGGATTTTTCCTTGGGTGTGAACACCTTCATTGGAGGTTATTATTACTTCGTATCAAGTATATCCCTTCACTCCCTTTTGGTTTCAGATCTGGTCCGGTTTGGTTTCAAGATTGATCATTGAAAATGCAGTTTTCTAAAATAGGGAATGTGATTCCCATATGGGAGAAAAATTTTTGAAATTTTGCCCAACTTTCCTGCAGGGTTTGGCCATCCATATGATGGATCTTTCATCCCTTCACTTCTCACACGTGCCAACTCTTCTCACATCTCATTCCTTTCCCTATACGAGTTAGGTCCATATACATTTGTTAGCACCCAACTAAATTTGTCATTTACACTATGCAATTTCACAGACATTGAGAATCTTTCTATTAAATCCTCCACACATTCCACGGTCTCCTCATTCCATAGAGTAACTATCCCTTCTGAAGCACCACAAGATGGAGCCCTTGAGCAACATGTCTTATCACATTAAAATCACCCCCCAAGCACCACGGGCCTTGCCATAGGCCTCCCACATCTACCAACTCTTCCCACATCTCATTCCTTTCCCTGTACGAGTTAGACCCATATACATTTGTTAGCACCCAACTAAAATTGTCATTTACACTGTGCAATTTCATAGACATTGAGAATCTTTCTATAAATCCTCCACACATTCCACGGTCTCCTCGTTCCATAGAGTAACTATCCCTCCTGAAGCACCACAAGATGGAGCCATGGCCCATCCAATGCCTCTACCTCCCCAGACACTTCTTACCCACCTCCTATCAACGTTTTGTGCCTTTGATTCTTGTAACAGCACCTCATCTGGCTTTTCTCTCCTTAATACTTCCTTTATGAGCTTTCTTTTTGCTGCCTTCCCTAATCCTCTTACATTCCAACTTACAATCTTCATTACAACACCACACCGCTTAGCCCCTAGCCTACCTTTTTTACTTTCTACCTGTCCTTCCGCTCTTCTCCCCTTCCTTCTCCCTCTTTCCCCACCCATATCTGAGTTTTTCTACCTCCTTGCCCTTCCTCTTACATACTCTTCCCCTGTCAACCACCTTCACCAACCTTGGGCTCTCTTTGACAATGGCTTCCTACTGTAGCATCTACAGAGACATCACTAGCATCATTAGTAACCAAAAGCGAATTCACACAGTTACCTTGGTTACCCTGTAAACCTGGGGAGGAAGTAGGAGGACTCAGTATGGGCTCAATAACAACATCCCTTAAACCCGAGTTGAAGAGTGTTGTAGGTTGGTCACCATCTGGCTGAATCACGTGGGATTGGCCTGAGTCTGAAACCTTAAGACTTAAAATTTCAACTGCCTCTGTTTCTTTACAGGCTTCCTCGAATTAAGTCATAAAGCTCTGTAGAACTTTTGAAATCAAACCCCACCCAAAACTATTTTTTCCTTAAGTGAAGCAAACTAGTTGCTTTCTCCCTGTTCCAAAGTATTCAAACAGAGCTATGAAGTTTACTTTTTCATTCTTCTTTCTTTCTGCAATGAATCTCCTTCCATCTACTTCTCTTGACCTCTTAAATTCTTTTTCCAAATCCAAACATAAAGAATCATGAACAAAATTCTTGAACCAAGCAATAGTCTCAAAACCAACAAGCAATACCATAGCTATCTTCAACGATACTCTGAGATCCCCAAACAGGAAACTTTTTGTTTCTATCTTCTCCAGCCTCAGCTGCCTGAGGGCTCACCAAACCTTATGCCTCCATGTAACTTATTCTATGCTTTGATGCTTGGATATTAGCATGGTGCAATTAATTTTAGGTAATCAAATAAAAATCTAGCTTAAGCTTCTATTTCAATATATATATATATATGTATTTTTTTGAAGATCAACAAAGAAAAATTTTATTCATAAAACAGAAAGATACAAAGTTTTGGTGACAAGGGAGTCGCCCCATCGCTAACAAAGAAAGACTCAAAGAAGAAACACCAAGAAACACAAATGGATTTAAACATTCAAAGTGTCCCAAAAATCAGTTTAAAAATCTTCTTTACTTAAGCCTTCGAATTCGGGCAAAACTAAAACCCAACCAACAATCCGTTAGCTAGTGGGGGTCCATCCTTCCCTGTTAAAGAGGTGTGGAGTAAACCTATCCCGCCTAAGATTGGAAGTTTCTGTTGGGAAGCATACCTGGAAAGAATCAACACTTGTGACTTACTTTAAAAGAAAAGACCAAAGAGCTGTTTGTCCCCTTACTGGTGCTATCTCTGTAAGGTCGACAGTGAGAATTGCTACCATTTACTAATCTCCTGTACTTTTATTAAAGGTTTATGGGAATGATTTTCCTTGTTTGGATGCAGGTGGAACCCGCCACCAGATGTGAAAAGGTTATTTGCACCTTTGTTTTTCAGACTGCCAAAGAAAAGGAGAAGAATGATGTGGCGTTGTATAAGGGCTGCTGTCATTTGGACCATTTGGGAAGAAAGAAATTCCAGAATATTCTCTGGTAAGGAGAGGAGCAAGGAAGCTATTCTAGAGGTAATTTGTATCAGGGTAATACATTGGCTTAAATCTATGGAGCTATTCAATAATGTGTCATCGGATGACCTGTTAAGAAAGTGGAGAGAAGTTGCTTTTTCGGCCCCGGGTAAAGAAGTAGTAGTTCCAGTTTGACCCCCTCCTAGTGGCTGTTACAAACTGAACTTTGATGGAAGCAGTTTCAGCAACCCAGGGCCATTGGGTATTGGGGGTGTTCCAAGAGATGAGAAATGGACAATAATTGCCTTGTTCTCTGGTCCAATTGAACCTGGCGACTCTCTTAGAGCTGAGATCTTGGTGGCATTGGAAAATGTTCAGTGAGCTAAAGAGTTAAACTTACAAAAGTTAATCATTGAAGGGGACTCCAAGCTGGTGGTGGAGTGGCTGAAGGAAGATAAAAATGGGATTTGGAGGTACAGCAATGAAAAGAAGAGATTCAATTGGTTAACTAGAAACATGGAAATTGAAGTAAATTGGGTCAAGAGGTGTGCTAACTCCTTTGCTGATGGGTTAGCAAAACAAGGGGTAAACAGGATACATTGTTTTGGGCACAACTGTAATGTTTTAGCTTGTTTTATTTGTTGTTGGGGGAGATAAGAAAGGTCACCTCCCCTTGTATCTTTATCTGTTTCTTAATGAAATCCTTATTATTGATAAAAAAAAAAATCCTTGAACTGATGACAGCCCCCAACTCTCTGTTGCTTCTCAATCTATTCTTGAAAGTTCTCTTATTTCTTTCCTTCAATGTTTTAAAACGCGGAGGCGTGATGCGAGGCGTTCCACTACCTAGAGCCATGAGGCGTAGTTCAGAATGCAAGAGGTGTAAGGAGGTGTAAGCCTCCCGAACACAAGGAGGCTTCCTTAAGAGGAGGGGGGTTAGGGGGAGGATGAAGAGGAAGGAGGGATCTCAGTTTTCTTTATTTTTAATAGAAATCTTTTATATTAAGAAGAATAAAGATGCATAACATTAGTTGAAAGGAGTGCAACAAGACCCCCCTAACTCAAAAAAAAAAACAAATTGGGCTGCATCGAAAAGGGGGTGGGTGGTGGGGGTCTGGGGGGTGAAGCCCCCCAGCCGAAGGGGTAGGGGGCAAACCACTTTCTTTCCCCTTATGTTTTCTTCCCTTCCCTTTTCTTTTCTCTTTTTTCTCTTCTCTTTCTTTTTCTTTCTCTTCCATTTCTTTTCCTTTCCTTTCCTTTCCTTTTTTTTCCTTTTTTTTCCTTTTTTTTTCCTTTTTTTTCCTTTTTTTTTTCTGTCTATTTATATAAGATGTGCATGAGGCGTACGCCTCTAGCACGCCTCATGAAAAAAACGCATGAGGCTTATGCCTCTTGCACCTGAGGCATATGCCTTAGAGGTGTTAGTGCCTCTGGCATATGCCTCAGGGCATTTTGGGAGACGCCTCCAGGCGCACGCCTCCCATGCCTTTTAAAACATTGCTTTCCTACCACACCTCCCAATATACAACAAAAGGAACACAAAAACAGTCTCACTTCCACCTCTTGAAGTTTCGCCAACAACCCCACACATTCCTCTATCTCCCAGTCCAACAAAGGTCTTCTAAACTTAGGACGCCCACCACTGAACCATCGTAGAGATCATGACATTGAGAAATATTTGTGGATCATATGGAAGCTGGGGAATTCTACAGAAGATCATCTCATTAGGCTTTCCCTTATTCCATAACAATGAACTAGCATTAGACAACTACTTGATAGCGCAGACAAATTCAATATTTCATACTATATATAATTTATATATATAATAAATAATATAAATTTAACATTTTATATTTATATAATTATATATAATATAAAAATTTAATATATGATTTAACAGTGGATATGGCTTTAAATAGAACGGATTGGTGAAACAGGAATCATGTGGCCGGCCCATATAGTTGGGATAAGGCATGGATGATAAATTTATATCTGTAATAAATTTAATATTTCATATTTTGTTAATTTGTTATATAAGGTAAAAAGTAATTAATGTTTATTTTTTAAAAATGAAGCAGAATCGGATTAAATCCAATCCAATTACATCCCTAGTGGCTGGTAGCTTTCAGTCTTTCTTTTGGTTTGGAGAGAGGGTCCTTGGGAGTGTTTTTTTTTTATTTATATGTTGAGGGTGTGGAAATGAGTTGTGGTAGGGTGAGGTGTTGTTTTCTTTCTTCTCTCCAGTGACTTCTAGTCACCTTTCTTGTAATTTCTGTTTTCTTTTTAATAATTTTTATTTTACTTTCCTAAAAACAAGAGATTTTGCACTTGGTGCAAGTCAGTAGGCAATCAACTTGGTTAAATGCAACTTCCTAGTGCCTAGTTGTTGAGTAGTCTGTGGTTTTCACTTGAAAGCCATGCTATATTTATATCTAGTAAATGATTGTCCTGCTTATTTAAAATTAAATATGATTACCTCCTTGCTCTCTCTTCTCTTCTCTCTCTCTCTCTCTCCTTATGGGATAGTTCTTTTATTCTTTTCTGGCAGGTATTCACTATTAACACTTGTATCAGAAGCTATCTGCCATTTAATTTATCCATTCAGGTGGCAGGTGATTTTTTGAAGCACCCTTCATTTATTTATGTAGAATAGTCCTGTGTATGCGTTCATAATTCTATGATGGTTTCATTTCAGTGGTAGGGTTTACATCTGACCCTTGGACGACCAGGGATTTTAATTAATACTCTATATGCTTATACAGAAGAGATGTTTTTATTTGTTTCCTTGATTGCCTTCTGATTACAGTTTTTCTCCTTTGTTGTGCTGAAGCATGTCTATATTCCATTGTTATTTTTCAATGGAGTTGACTACATTGATGCTCCTACACCATACATGATGGGTCTCCATTCAGGTGTTGACACATCTGGTCTGGCTATGGATGGTGTAAGTATCTGACCTTTGAGATAAGTATGGACAACTTTTCTACATTGCTTCTTGTCATGCATGTTCCCATGTCTCTTATCAGAGGTTATGGGCTTTCTTTTTCATTGGTGAACTAAGCAACTAGACCATGGAGCAGGAACGGGAACAGTAGTGTAGGACTTAAAATATGGGAAACTCCATGATTTAGGAGCAGCTATGGATAATTTGTTTGTGTATATGTGCATATATATTTTTTTATTTCATATTTGCATATTATACACTATATACATGTATTATCAATTTACCATAAATATACATTAAACAAGAATAAAAGGACATTTAGTTATGATAGAGAGATCCAATCCAGGTTTGTGATCCCTGCCATATAGGATCTATCAAGTTAAGATGGATAATCCTTTGGGTAATTTGGAAGCAAGGTGCAAATGTTTAAAAAACCAAAAAGTAAAAAAAATATTTAAAAATTTGCAAAAATGTAAAAAAATTCAAAATAAATTAAGAAAAATATAACAATTAATATGAATTAAAAATATAAACTTTAATTTTAAATTAAATATATTAAAAATCTTATTAGCTCAAATTAATATACATAACAATAGCATATAAATATTTATAATGAAAATGCAAAAAATAAAACCAAATATAACACATAAAACATATTCAAGTATGCCGAACTTTCAATTTCTTTATTTCTTTTCTAACTGCATTATTTCAAATAGATAATATGATGTTCAACGTGTTTTATTTCTAATTCTATGAGCCGCCTTTGTACCAAGCCCTTTGAGGCAAGTCCAAACAAATGCGTGTTAGGGTCTTAAATTCTTAATCCCTACAAAAAAAGGTTTTATAATTTTAGTTACCTTTTAGAAAATATCATTTATTAGGAAGAACGAAAGAATGACATTAGCAAATAGGGGGTTCTCAGAGCTGAGGAGAGTAGGATGGGGTGATGCCACTCCTATCTCTCCTAAGAGGACATTGCATTTCATTGTGCTTGATTACTTCAGATTGGATGTAGAAGGTGATTCACAGGTTATAGTGGGATGGTTGAGAGGGGAGCAGGAGCTCTTGGGTATATTGGTATCGTGTTAAAGAAGTCAAATCATTAGTAAACAAAGGGAACATCTTTTCTTGATCAATAACAGAGGGAACATCATTAATAAAGAGTTGTTTGGGGCAGCATTTGGTCTTTGTTATTGTTGGAAAAATGTAGGGGGAAGTGGGTACACCTTATGTAAATTTTGCTTTTTTTTGGTGTATTTCTTATTTAGTGGGTGATTGCTTATGACTTTTTTTGGATCTTCATTATTATTTGTTTAATGAAAATTTCTTTTTTATTTACTATAAACAAATCTCATTCTACTTCATTAGGAGATCTGCTAATAATATAGCTGATTCTTTATCCAGAAACAGGATTCGTAGGGAAGGCTTATATTGGGGAGCTGCACTTACTAGAGCAGATTAGAGCATATTGTTTATTGTTGGGTGTATAGGGAGGCTTTAGTTACAGCTTGGGTTCACTTTTTTTCCCTCTCCTTTTCTCTCTATTTGCTTATTAACAAAGTTCATCCTATTACCGGTTGAGGGAGAGAGACTGTTGGAACTTGAAAGATGTATTAGTTTTGTCCCAGTCCTTTTTGTGGTAGAAGGTTTTCTCCCATCTTGAAAAAGTAGAAATGAAAGCAGGCTTTGTATGCCCTGTAAAAGGTACACCTAGAAATAGATTTTAGCCAACCATATGGCGTAATGGTGATACAAGAATGGGTGCCAAAACTGAAACCAGTTAGATGTGGCCAAATGACTCTTCTTCAGAATGCATGCCCCAAGCAAATTCTTGTGTGGAGCAATTCTCACTATTGCTCATTTTATTAATTGTATGTCATCTTGCAATTTGGGTTTTAAGGCCCTCTTCAGAATTTCCTTCCTGATTGTCCCTTGTTTAATTTAACTGTTTTGTGTCTTTGGGTGTATCCGCATTGCTCATATTTTGAGTTCATCTTGTTCTAGGTTCAATCCTAAGTTTGTCTGTTGTGTATTACTTTTTTCTTGATAGGTAATTGTAAAGAGGTTTTATTAAAATGAGACAAAAAGATATATACAATAGAACAAACAACCCTAGAGAGGTATAAGTTGCCACCTCTCAAAGTAATACAATTCTTGGATACTCTCATATTCAAAATAGGGTATTAGATCTTTGATCCATTTACTGGGAAAAAATGTTTTTGTTGATTTTATCTTTTGGGTATTAGTTCCTTTCTTTTCCCTCAATCTCTTTAGGGGGAGCCATAGACTCAGTCAAGTGAAGAGAGGTTGTGTCCTATTCCACAGCCAATGCTGATATCATGCCCTGAGATGCAGGGGTAGTCAGAGGAAGAGGCCAACAACAATAAATTCAAGTGGATATGAGGAAGATAAAGGTTGCATCCCTAGGGGCCAAACCACTCAATCTCATCTAAACCAAGTAACCCATCTATTTTTTCATCCATTATGCTTGATCTTGACATGCCTATTGTTGTCAACAGAAAAAAGAAAAACAAGCCTGTACTTCACACCCCATTTCTCAATTCGTGTTGATACTTTATCTCCTACTTTCCATTCATTTATTACCTCCCTTTTCTGGTGTCTTTATTCCATCTAGTGTCAAAGATACTTTATATCACCCTAAGTGGAAAGGGGCAATGATTGAGGAGATGGAAGCTTTTCTCATAAAGATAGTTGATCTCCCCATTGGTAAGAGACTGGTAAGCTTTAAATGGGTTTTTACTACTTAGCAGATATGTGATAGTTTTGTGGACAGGCATAAGGCAAGGTTAGTGGCCAAAGGCTTTATCCAAGGTTATGGAGTTGATCATGGGGAGACACTCTCCAGTTGCTCAAATAAATACTGTTAGAGTCTATTTGTTTCTTGCAGTGAGCATGGCATTGAATATGCTGTGGTTGGACACTTGGACCAATGAACTTGTGTTGTGATAATAAAGCAACCATTAGTATTGTCCATGATCTTATGCATATGATCATATGAAGCACGTTGAAGTGGACAGACACTTTGTTCGGGAAAAAGTTGCTTGTAATGAAATTTGTCTATCATTTGTAATTCCTAATAAAATACTAGCTGATATTTTAACTAAGGCTATATCCAAAAATAAGCTAGTTAGGGTGCTTTACAAGCTGGGCACGCATAACATGTATGTACCAGCTTGAGGGGGAATATGTTAAAAGATAGGTGTTAGATTATCAAATTATTGTAGGGTGCTTTGTATTGTAACCAAGGGCAGAAGGGTCCCCCCACTTATGTCCTTGCTCCTTATCTTTTAATGAAATGATTCTGTTATTGATAAAAAAACATCATCCTTCTTTCTCCTCTCTCCTATATTCTTTTTTTTTTTTGATCAGTGCTGACATTTAGAATTTTATTAATGATGAAAGGTAGCATGCAAGTTACAAGATATACATACTTATATGCAGAGCACAAAACGAAAAGAAAAGAAAAAGACTGTTACAATTCACAACTCTGATCCATTAATAACAGCCACATATGTAGGATTCTTAATCCAATGGGTGTTCACCCCACCACATTTCCTGCCTTCCCACACCCTCATGAGCAAGGGAATCTATCCGAGAGTTAGCAGACCTAGGGGTCTAGTAAATTTCTTCTTGCACCCTCCAACATAGATGTCTAGCTTCCCATTTCATATATCTAAGGATTCCTTCTGCTTCACCTCTTAGGCAACTTACAATTGATTTTGACTCTTCCCTGCTAACAGTCTTGAGTAATCATGAGTACTGGTTAATCTCAATTCTCAACCCCTGCAGAATAGCCAGTAATTCAACTGTAATGGAGTTGCCAAAATCAATTGGTCCAGCATACGCAAGAATAACCCCCCATGTGATTCCTAAATGGTTCACCAATGGCTGACTCCTATTAGTTACCAAGACTACAATTGTCAAAATTCAGTCTGGTTTTGTCCACTGGTAGGGGGGGACCCATGTCCATAAGTAAACATCAACTGATAAAATAGTAACAATACAAGAAAGTTAACTAACATGAACTGGTGAGTAGATGAAGACTGATTTTTTTTTGTCTCCACTGATTGTTCTCTATTCCTCTGTTCTTCTCCCTTTCTATTTTCTGTTTATTTCTGTTGTTGCATTACTGTTTCAGATTGTTTATGACCCAAATCTTTTGATTGACAATGAGAAAGCATAGATACATATGCCAAAGATACATGATATAAAAAAAAAAACTGCCAGCAATGCTGGACCACTGACACCCCACTATATAATGGAGAACACAAAAACTGACTGAACTTGAAATGGACCCTAATATCCTGCTGGAAGGCCAAATTAACATTCATGAAATGGATTCTTTCTTGTTGCTTAACTTGGTTTTCATTTTTCACTAAATATTTATGCTATAATTTCCAGAACCTTTTCCTTGTTCCTCTGCTTTAGGTGGTTGTTGTAGACCTTGAATATAACCGTATTACTACATCAGAAGAAATACCTCCTATACCAGAGCCAGAATTAAGTTCTTTGCGTGGTGAGATAATGAAATTGTTGTATCCAAAAGTTGTTGGAATAGATCAAATGAAGACAAGCTTTGGTGTTTCATCTGAACAATATCCTAAAAGTGCAAACAAGCCTTGGGGAGAGGAACATGATCTTCAACTTAGGTGAGATGCCTCATCAAATATTTATGGCTTGCATGCAGTTTGCTTTTAGATTTTTCTTTTGTTATTAATATTTATGGAGTAGTTGACTTCTTTTTTTGGTAAAAGAACTGTTGATTTTAGAATCTTTTTTTGTCTTTATGTGTAAATTAAGAAGCTTTCTTAATCTAAACATGATTTTTATCTTGGCAACAATGAAGAAAAATTATTCAAGTAAATTTATCATAAATTGTGATGATGATGTTGTTTTGATAAGTGGTTGAATTTTGTATTAATGTGATATTTTATTTATTTTTGAAGCTTGATGATGATATTGCTAATGACAATGTTGTAATTCATGTTCTTTTGTTATAAGTGGATAATTGCAATTTGTACAATTATTTGCATGGAGAATTAGAAGAATGGTAGATATAAAATAATGGAAATAGTTCCAAAACCTGGTCAAAGTTTCATTTTTTCAACATATTCTCTGGTTTGAGAAGGTAATTGGAGGATTTGGAGTCACTCGACTCTTCACAGGGTGTCCAGGGTAAAGTATTTATTTTTGCAATATCTGCTTTTATTGACCTTTGTTTTTTCTGGTAAATAGCATAATGCTAATGTGTTGAGTAACATTTGATAGTGCTTTACAAGAGGATATGGAACTTGTTAAAAGAAGAATTTCTGATTGTTTACACTACTTACTCCTAAGGCAACATTTCACAGGTGGAACCCTTTCAGCTTCATTCTCATTCCAGAAAATAAACAACATTAGGTCTCTTCTAAGGCCCTAGCCTTGTAGATAGTGAGCCATCCACACAACCTGATGTACATCTATTATCTGTCTTGATAACTTGTTCTGTCAAACACTTCACCCACTTTAACATCAGGTGTGGGTGAAAGCCAAGGAAGAAACTTTATGATTACAAAGAAGGATTTCTCTTTTTGATCATTTATAAGAAGAAGTTTTATAAGATAAGAAGTGATTCTAGAAAGTGCGATGCTCCTGGAAAAAGAATTGAAGGGAAGCCCAACCCTATAAAAACTGGTTCTTGACTCTCTTTGGGTCCTTTTATACAGTTTATGCACCATTTATCCACTTTTTACAACAATTAATAAAAACTTATGTTTGTTATAAAAGATATATTGGCGATCAAACTTTCAATACGCTTAACTGATGGATGGAGCCCAGAAAGAAGAAAATAACTCCTCTCAGAATTTCTACTCACTGATTTGGAGTAAAGGGTCATTATGCAATTCTGGTCCCGGAAATCTGTGGTCTTGGGGGGGGGGGGGTGGATGGATATGGACCTAACCTTTTGACATCAAACTTGAACCAACTGATCCAGAGTATGACAGATCATTAACATCCCTGAACGTACCTGATCTGATGGTTCTGGAGAGGCATTCACATCTAGACTAACTAATATACAGGGACAGATCTCTCTTTTACATGGTTAAGTATAGTAATATACCTCTGATATATGAAAAGTTTGTATGGATGAGCAGTGGAAATGATACTTTGATTTGTCCTTCTTGCTTGAATATGCATAAAATATTGTGATCACAGAATGCATCGCATGTGAACTTTTTCCTAATGTTTTCAGTGAATTTATTTTTGCAGATTAATATTCCTAAAATTCTTTGCATCAATTTTGAGTGGCTACCGTAATTTCATAGTAAAGATTTTTCTTCTTCTATCTTTTCATGGTTTTTCAGTTTCAGTTTCTTCTTTTCTAAATATTCTTAGAAGTTTTCTTGATGATATTGTTCTTTATCAGGAAAATAGTGCTACTCAGGTCTTCAACACACAAGCATTTTTGAAGAAACGATCTAGGTCAACAAACCAACCACCAGAACCCATGGTGATGCTAACTTGTCCTAATCTCTCTTTTACAATCTTCTGACTTCTTCCCTTAGTATCCTTTTTTTGTTACTTTCAAGTCAGTGATCTTGTATTGAAAGCTGTATCTTTTGAAATGCTTCTTTTACTAGCATAAAATGAGTAGAATAGCACCTCCTTTTTCATGGTTCTGATCTAAAATCTATTTGTTTTCTATACTTTATGGTACTTGCTGGATTAAGAGTATGTGTTATTTTGTTTTTATCCAGATCGAACAGTTTTTAGATTCTCAAGGTTTCTTGGATTATTTGGAGAGGGGTATAGGTTCAGATGAAAATTCTAACAATCTTCTTGACAAGTTACAAGATGCTATTGGAAGAGGTCAAAATCCTATGTCGATTCTTCCCTGTCTTATGGAAGAGCCTGAGGTTATAACCATATCTGACCATGGTGTTGGAATTGCAGGTATTGTTGCTATGGTTGCTTATTAAACCTTGAGTTTTATGTGCTTTATGTGCATTAGAAACAATTATATTTTGGTTCCTTTTTTAGATATTTGTTCTTATATTCATATCTTTAATTATCAGGATCAGGTGCCAAATATTGTTATGACAGGTTTCCATCAAATGTTAGGACAGAAGAACAAGAAGAAAGGAGAAATGCCATTATTGCAGCAGCAAGTGGAGCATTGGAGTATTCAGGAAGGCATATGCCTAGGTATAAGTAGAAAACAAAATGTTATTTTTTTTTAATCAGTAAAACAAAACAAAATGTTCTTTTGATATTTGGCTTCTTGTTCTTTCAATTTTTGGATATATTAAGAGATATGCCGGTATTTATTTTAGTGTTAATTTCTTTACTCAAATTATCCTCATCCCTCTGCCATGGTTTTCCAGCTCACCTTCTATGCTAGTTGGTAAGGACTCAAAAGCAGAAAGTCTAAGTCCAAGGGAGAGGGCGGTAAGTTTATTTATGACCATTGTTGCATCCCAGAGGTTTTATAGTAGTTCTAATAATCAAGTGAATCGAATTTTTTACTACAGGCAGAAAGAGAGCGAATGGTCCTGGACATAAAAGTGAAGCTTCAGGTGAGGCTGTTGTTCACCATATAACATTCTACCCATCACAGTTTGTTCTGGACTTAAGATAAAAATGTTAGGTCACTTCTCTGCATATTTTTTCCCATAATAATGTGGATGACATTCACTTGCTTCACTTGGGTAAGTGGTTCTTTCAGTTATTTACATGTTCTTATCCTGTAAGTTTCTTGTGTGTTTCTAAAATTGCAGCCGTTTTCCATGTGAAGAGTTTCTTATGGCATAACCCTTAAGCTGTGTTTGGTTTGAAAGAAAAGGTAGGGAACCCTTTTCTTTCAAACCAAACACAGCCTTTGGAGCTTTTGTGTTTGTTTAATCTGAATGACCGTCATTGGCTACCATATAGATGATCTTTTGGACTTATTGATCTTTCTTACTGAATGGTTGAGGGATGTTTGCTTCATTTTCAAGTGATTATTTGCTTATCACTTCATAGTTCGAATGGCCATTTCCCCATCCCACACTGCTTGAAATGTGTTGAATTTGATGGTTTTGGAATTAATAATTGGTTAGGGATCCTTTCTGAATGGTTCTATGTAATATCTTTACTAATTGGCAACAATTCAAGGAAAATGGTTTTGATTATTTAACTGGGTGAACTGGCTAGTTGAATTGTCCAACATCCACCCAGCCATTTTTCTGGGTTGAACTCCAGGTTTTGTTTTTAAAGCATTGAGTTCAACAACATGTATCAATTGCCAAATTTAATATATGATATATGTGAAGATATCTTCTCTTTTTTTTTGATTAGTAACTCTGAAATTTTATTAATTTATTTAAAAAATGGAAAAAAATTACAGTACAGGATGTGCCTTAGCACCCATGCTACTACTAGATTATTTCCAATCTAGCCTTTTGCCCCTTCTCATCCTTTTCCTTTTCCCATTTTACATATTTTCTTTTTAAGCAATTCTGTCAGTGGGGTTATCAGAGCACCATACCCCTTGATAAAACCCTGGTAATATCCAGTAAGGCCCAAGAAATCCCTAAGACTTGACTGTAGTGGGCCTAGGCCATTGCAACATACAGTCTATCTTATCCAGGTCAACTCTCACCGTGCCCGCAGTGACAATGTGACCTAAGTAGTGGAATTGGTGTTGCTCAAAATCATACTTCGACCTCTTAGCATAAAGCTGATTTTCTCTGAGGATGTCCAGGGTAGTGCGTAAATTCTGCACACCTATGCTTGGGGTAGTGGATTTGATGTTGCCACATACACCTATGCTCGGGGGAGAATTTCCCATTGCATTTGTAGCAGATCTCCCATCTCAGTGGGCCTGCATCTCTGACCACAACGACCTCTTCAGAGGAATGGGCTGAGTTGCCATAGCTGATGACTTGATTGTCTGGCCCTCCGGATGATTGGGAGGTGTCTTGAAAGATTGGTCCTGATACTCGACTCAACCTCCTTAGCCTATTCAATCGCTCTTCATGGACGGCAGCGGAAATGGTGGTAGGTTGCATAGCCTTCACCTCCAAACAGATTTCACCTCGGAGACCACCAACAAAGCAGCCGACAAGAGTTTTCTCCGGCCAGCCATGCATTCTCATCGCCAACAATCAAATTCCACCCGATAATCATGAACCATGCCTATCTGTTGTAGCTCAGCAAGCACAAGCGCCTCATCAAAATCTTCGAAGGAAGACATTCTAAACCTAACATAGAGAGCTTCTGACAAATTGTTCCCAATCATCTGCGGATGAGAACACTTATACCACTGGAACCAGTTGATAGCTTCTCTTTCCATGTATACTGAAGCAATTGCCACCCTCTGATGACTGGCAATCTTGTAGATCCATGAAAGAGGATCTTCACCATTATAGACAGGGAAATCCATCTTGACTGGCCGAGGCATATTTCTGCCAAATTTTTGAATGCTGCCTTGGTTGGGAGCTCTTGGAGTCATTTTCTCTGCTGCTCACAGCGGCTGATATCTTTTCACACTGTATCATCACCACTGAGAGCACTTCCTTGATATCTCGGAGGTCACCCAAGAATTTGTGTAAATCCACCTTGATTTGGCTTACTCTTTCTACCATAGTCGCAGATCTTGTCTGTGGCATGACAAAGCCGGTGCTCTGATACCAGAATTGTTGAAATCCTGCTCACCACAGGAATCTTTTTTGAGGGAGACTTTGCCTCCTGAAGCAGAGAGAGAGAGAGAGAGAGAGAGAGACTTTGCCTCCTGACATAGTACCAATTACCAAAGCTATCCCTGAATACAGAATACTCCACCAATGCCAGATGGTTTATTTATTTCACAAGACTATCCACATGCTCCATTCTGAGGAAGAGAACCCACAATATAGTTTCTTTCTTCAGGGCATGGGGAAAATAATAGTCCAAACTTGTATAATTCTCTTAGTCTGTTTTCGTCTCTTAGATGGTCAACAATGCTTGTGTCTCCAAGTAATCGAAGATCTTTTGACTATTAAGATGTTGTTCAGTTTCACAGTATGGTTTTGCTAGTCATTTGCATTGTTATATTTTTACTTACAAATTTGCTTGGTTAAACAGGGACTGTGGTTACGTCTTTTGAAATTGGGAGCAACTGATGATCCTCTTTCATCATTTGAATATGGCACAATTCTTGGTATGATTCTGTGGGACATCATTCATTTCAGTACTGTTTATGCTTGCTTCTGATGTATCTTGAGTGAAATTAATATCTAAAGCTTATATATACTATCTTGGTATGTTACAAGCATATGTTTTTGGCTTGCAGCTTTAATTGAGTCTGATGCAGAGGGAATTGGAGGCAGTGGTTTTGTTGAGTGTATAAGGGAACACATTCATTCAGTATGTAAAACATTAAAGAATACTTTATTTGAGTATTTTCTATGCGTGTCAATAGTTAACTGTCCATTGGGTTTATGTTATCAGGGATGGGCCTGTCGTTTGACCGAAGAGCAGTTTGTTGCAGTTAAAGAATTGGTATGTTGGTGATATTACCAAAAATGTATTACTAATGTAACAACAAGAGTTTACTTGGCTGCAATTCATGCCTCTCCTTGGGATGCTTGTATTGTTTCTATATTACGATCAATGAAAACATATTTTACTTGTCAAAAAAAAAAAAAAACAAGAGTTTACTAGGCTGGATAAAATATATTCTGGAAGTAAACCATTTAGCTCTTTCGTGGTTTTAGTTAGGATTGAACTTCTGCCTACAAATAAAAATATTTTGTCTTTTACTAGGTGGAAAACTGGAAATAGGTTGAGGTAAGCTTTGGTGAAACTCTTGTCTTGTGATGAGAAGTGTATAATATTCTAAATAAAATAGTGGAAAAGTATTACTAGTATTAGTTAACATTTTATATCCATTATATTTGTAAGTAGGACAGTTTTTGCTTTTTGTCTGCTCTCTTTGTGGTCTTTTAGTTTAGTTTGTATGCTTTAGAATTTCTCTTATATAATCCTTCTTATGAATGTCTCTTTTTGAATTTGTGTGAGACTTCAGCTCAAAACAGCAATCAGTCGTGCCACCTCTCGGAATGACATGTCGACCATAAGAGATGCACTCGAAGTTTCTGCAGAGATGTATAAAAAAGATTCTAATAATGTTCCAGATTATGTTCAACGTCATCTCCTTTCTCTATCCATCTGGGAGGAACTACGGTATGTTTTCACCATTCTTTGTTTGAGACCAGTGAGATTGGAGGTATTATTACCTCTATGTGCTATCAGCTGTTTTTGTGAGAAAGAAGCAATACAGTTATTTAAACCCCTGATTATATAGTTCCTCAAATACTATTGTAAACCTATTTATCTTTTAATATCCTTACATATCTGATCAATGTACCCTCAGGTCCTAGCATTGCTTATTGGAGGAATATTATTTTTGTACTAGTTTGTCTTAGTTATAAAAATTACAGTGCGCTAATAGTCAGATAAGAACTTTTTCCTAATCATTAACTTTAGAAATTGCACTCTATCAGGAGAGCAAGGATGATATGGAAGTCCTTAGGCTTTATGGAGGAAATGACAGGCTGCGAAAATCTTAAAAATGGATATATGAAGCTTTATTTTGAAGAGTAATTGCTTGGAAACCCAGGGCTCTCAGGTGTTGGTGTAGAATTTAGAGGTATGAGGGGTTAGATTATGTTGCTCTTCTTAGGGCTAATTTGGAATAGGCTTAACCAAAGATTATATTGGTGTAGCATTTAGGTGATAAGACACTCATGGAGGGTCACCTCAGCCAATTGCCAGGACATTTTTTACAGAGTGCTGTTGGGTACTTTTGTTAACAGTACTTTTACTCAAAGCTGAGGGGCTTTTTTGTCTTTGTACTTTTATTTTATTAGTTAGGTTGCCCTAATATAAATAGAAGAATTGGTGCCGCTAGCCTAACTTTTTGATTCCCAAGCTTCTTTTTCTCTTTTCCTCTCTTCTCTTCTCTCTTTTATTGATTTCTTCCAAGAGAACATGGTATCGGAGTGGAAATATTGGGTCAAGAATTCCTTGTCTTTCCTGCTGTTTTTTTTTTTTCAGATTAATCCTCCCCTTAGAACACTTCCTCCTATCTGTCAATATCCTCATCCCACATCTCTCCTCCCTCCCCAATTACTACTTTCTTCAAACTTTCTTCCTTCCTCCTCTCAAATTCCTCAAAGGCCTTCCTAGCAAACTCCTCCCCTCCCTCGCAAAAAAAAAAAGCCAAGGCTTTTGCCAAATGCAATGTCTTTCTCCACAATTTTCTCAATAGGAAGCTTTCCAGACCTCTCCACCTGATCATCAAGACTTCTATCATGATCTCTCGCTTCAGAACTGGAATCAATTCCATTGTATTTTTCATGCTGAAAGATTCCCATCTAAGAGACCAGGCTATTATTAGCCCGAAAGTGAACACCTCCAGCATCTTCGAATATTGGCACTGTTGTCTTCCCCCCTCTCTTATAAATCTTTTTGTAATTTTTTGTAGGTCCTTCCCCCACCAAACCAAGTTTCATCTGAGAAAATACCTTGGTAATGTGGACAATGTCATATTCCTTTCTCCACGAGATTTCTTGGGAATTTCAGTTGTGACCACATCATTGTCTGCCGCCCTCCTACCTAAATCCACACTTAACTTTCCAATCACCACTTCCTCAAAAGGACTGTGAATGGCATCAAAGCACTCTACTTGGGAAGATTTGCAAACAATTGCATTGTTATTCTCTTTTCCTCTATCATCATCTCCTAAAACCTTTCCAGATTCGGCATTGCCAACCCCTATCGCAACTTCCTTCGTCCTCTCCCCCAACCTATCCTTTGCTCCATTATGAATCTCCCTGGAATCGCTAGCCAGAAATTCCTCCTTAGGAGAGAAATCAACCCGAATCGATATAGAAACAGTTGCCTTTTGGCTCACCTCTCCAGAAATCTAATTAGCATCAATCTTGCTATTTTTGCAGCAGACTGGGACATGATCGTCAGAAACAACTATTTGATCAACTTCACGTTCATCACTCTCAGCCTCAAACTTCTCAATGTCCTTCTTGCTTTTGTCATATCTTAAGATTACCCACTTCTGTCCTTCCTTCCACCTTTGTTCCTTACCCAAAAATAATGGTTTCCAGATCCCACTTTTTTTTTGTTCACTTTTGAATGTTTGCAAATAAATGAGTTCCTTTTAACCACCCTTAAACAATCCAAAAGAATGCACTTCTTCCTAATAAAAGACTTGGACTTGGTGATATGGCTCCCACTCAACCCTAAATCTAGCTTCCTGGCCCTAAGCGTCTCTATGTTCAAATTTGGAGACTCTTCCTCTCCCATATCAAACCCCAAATTCTTCTTCTCTTGGCCTTCCACACATCCCTCATCAACTCCTCCCTCCTCACCTTCCCCTATCCACTACAGAGAGCGGGCAAAGCCGATCATCCTTTTTGCCGAAATTGAATGGACCCCAAGTGCAATTTTGGGGTCCTACATTCTCCATTTCCAACGAGCCCCACATCTGCCAAATCATCCTTACAATCATTAATTTTATCTTTAATGCCAAAATTATCCTCATGTTTAACTTCCCTCCCTCTCTCCTAGCTAGCTTGTTCGTCTTCCCTTCCAACACAATAGAAGCCAGTGACCACTAACCTTAAATCAAAGTTCTCTCTAGCAAAACAAAGAGATAATGTCGTAGGCACCAAATGAATCTCTGGAACCTCGACTAAAATACGACCAGCAACAAGATTTCACCATGAATTCGTTCTTGAATCCACAAACCTGAACCTTCCACCACACCAAGCTTGAGGGACCTATGTCTCTAATCGCACTAACTGATAGGTACCATCTCCCGATCCTTAAATCTGGGGAACATATCAGACTCTGTTCTCGAACCAAAATATCTCTCACTTCCTCCACATTGAAGAATATGAAAAGAAAAGATCCAGCACTCAATTTTCTAACATGAAGAGAACTTTTTGGACACCATTCCGCAGCAGCCCATCCCCCTACAACTTCTGCATCAGGATCAAAATTAACAAACTGGGCCACCAAACTCCTCTCTAGCAGTTTGAGACGACCGTTGATATCTCCTGACGAATTCACAACCACCTCCTTCATCCCTCTTGTCTAATTGCTATGCCCATCCTTTTGAGATGACTGTTGATATTGTGTGATCTCAAATTTTGCTCCGATGTTTCATCTAGAACACTTTCATCGTCTTCTTACTTCTCTCCTTCTGTACAAAGATTTGTGCATTCCTCTCCTCCCAAATCATCCAAATCAATGCTGGTGGAAGCCAAGTCTGATTTTCCTTGCTTTTGGTATTGGTTTGATGGCTGTGTCCTCTACTGTGGGTGCATATGTGTTGTTTTGCATGTCTCTTCTTCTCTTGGCCGTGTGCCAAGATATAGCCTGAAATGTGGTGGGTGCTTGCAATGAAGGTGTTTGAGGTGCATTTTCATCCTTTATGTGGACCATGTGATCCTTGTGTACTCAGGTGAGTGCTTTTGTAAGTTTGGAATGACATGTACCTGCAGTAACAACAAGTGTATGTGCTATTCTTGATGATAGTAGTGACTCACTGTGTACCCTAGAGGAGCGGTTTTTGATGTTCATAGGGCTTATCTAGACCTATCCTGATCTGATGTTCGTATGGGGGTCTCCTTGAAAGACGAAGGAAGGCAGAGGGTAAAGGGTAGGCTAAAGGCTCTGATTGACAGAATGTTGTCCTTGTTATGAGTTAAACCTCCTTTTATAGGGAGAGATCCCAAGGTCCCGAAAGGAAGGAGCCAAAAGAGTTTTATTCCCACTAGGAAAGGGAACCTTTGATTCGGTGTTAGTTGTCAGGGGGACATCGCTAAGGTTTCGCCACGTGTCTTATGAGATCTCTCCATGACGAGGTTTCCTTTCGTCTGAGGATTCTCATAATACACATGTGCTACTTTTTGCGAGCCTCTTAAAGTGACGTGGCGCGGATGATGTCAATGCTAGTCTTATGTGTCTCTCTTAATCCTACTGGGCATTCTGTCACGAGTGATGTCGACCGGTCATCGTGTTTCTTCATTCGTCGCTGATCTGCGATGGTTGTGAGCTCATCGCAGGTTTGCGATGGCTTTGGGCTCATTGCGGATCCCTAGCGGCTTTGATTTTATCTTCGGTACCATGGCTTTGAGTCTATTGCAGGTCCGTGGTGACCTTGAGCTCATCGCAAACTTGTATAGGCTTTGATCTCATCGCAAGTCTGTGCAGGCTCGGAGCTCATCGCGGATTCGTCCTGAGTTGTGAACTCATCATGGGTGTCTCTGTAGCATTGGTTTAGCACCTTCTACGCTATTGCAGTTGTGGTGATCAACATGTACGTACAGGTGTTATATGTGGATTGTGGTGAATACCAATTTTTAGTGTTGTTTGTATAAGACCAAGGGGTCTGATGATTGTTATTCCTTCTTCTATTGCTTCCTATGTGGCTGAATTGTAACAACAGTCCTATTTCTCCATGTCATCTGAGGATTCAGCCACTTCTGGTGTGTCTGCTACCCATGGTGGAGTGAGTGGGGGGGGGGGGGTTGATATGAACTTCTCTATGGTTATTTTTCCCCTAGATGGACTTAACTACTTAGAGATGTTGAACAGTTGAAGGGAATTAAACTTTACATAACTATAAGACGAAATATAAGCTACATCAATGGAAAAATCAAGGAGCCGAAGTTTGGGAGTGCAGAACATGATAAATGGAACCAAGAAAATAGTATGGTGATGTTGTGGCTTTTAGTTTCCTTGCTGCCACAAGTGTGGAAAAATTTTCTGTGGGCGGACACAACCTATGAAACGAGCAAGCTAAATCTACATATTCTAAGCAAAGACATTATGCAAAATTCTACCAGTTGCAATCTGAATCTTCGACCTATAGACAAGGGGAGAGGAGTCTCTCAGTTTACTACTCAAATTTGACCTCTATCTGGAGGGAGTTGGATCATTATCTGAATATGGACTGAAAATGTGATGAAGATGCAAAGATCTACAAGTCTCTAGTTTCCCAACAATGAGTCTTTGCTTTTCTTTTGGGGCTGAATCCTATGTATGAGTCTATCAAGGTGCAGATTTTGGGAAGCAAAGATCTCCCTTTAGTCCAAGAATTATATGCCTTGGTGTAGTTAGAAGAGGGTAGGAGAAATGTGATGAATAGTTCAGAGGGG